GGTCACATGTGATCCAGGAAAACAACCCCATGAAGTGATTATTTTATTATTATTATTATTATTATTATTATTATTATTATTATTATTATCATCTGATCAGGCACACACTTTCTCCTCATCTCAGTTATGAAGTCACCAAAACAGAGATTAACATGACTGCCGAATCTTTAGCTTAGCCGAAAATGGGAAGTACAGTATTGCAAAGAAAAATTAAAAAAAAATCAGGGAAGTTTTGAGACTCTTCGTCTTTTGTTACTCGTTCCCTTCTTCTGCCGTTGTTGGTTCTGAATACATTCTGCACAAACTCCTGTGTTAATCAGTAGGGAGGGGATGACACTTTGCACCTGCTTAGCAGCATTTTTTTCTTTATCATTGCTTACACATTCCTAGGTTGAGGTGCTGGGGCTAAGCATCAATTGGCCCCGGCTGAAATTATGCCAAGAAAACGCAATTTAAAATAAAGCTCTCTGTGCTTGCAAAATGTCGTGTGTGGATTTCACCCCTTCTTTCTGGGAATGATGTGAGGGGATCGATCTCTCTCTCTCTCTCTCTCTCTCTCTGTGTGTGTGTGTGTATGTGTGTGTGTGCTGGTGAAGGAAATGGCCCTTTATTTTCCCGAAGCCCTAAACCAATTTGCCACATTGGATTGTGGGAGGTAAACAGTTAAGGCTTCATGAATAAAAGCCTATGTTTCAGATTCTTAGTCAATATATATATATATATATATATTAAAGGTGGGGGGTAAGAATTGTGGGAGGTAAACAGTTAAGGCTTCGTGAATAAAAGCCTATGTTTCAGATGTTTCAGATTCTTAGTCAATATATATATATATATATATATATATATATATATATATATATATATAAATTAAAAGTAGGGGGTAAGAAGTTTATTCTTTTAAAGAGCCAACTTTTCAGTGTTAAAACCTTAGGAAGATATGCTGAGGTCATTGGTTTTATTCCCCCCCCCACAAAAAAACTCTGAATCATTTCTAAACACATACTTGTAAAATCTTCCTGTGCTCCAGAGGCTAATTTGCAGAAATTCATCCCATTTCATGGCATCAGAAAGAGAGATTTTTGATGACTGCTGAGGCATCGGGGTAAAATAATAATAAAAAAGGCTGTTCACAGAGCTAGGGGGAGGGTCAGGAGGCCAAACCTTGTGGAGAGGGTGTTGAGGGGGCACCGCAGGGTGCTGTTCCAGGGACGCGAGTGTGGAAGGTGGAGGCCAGGGCCTCGCTTGCTATGCAGAGCCCCCAGTGATTCACCCTTGTGACAGAGCCGCAGACAAGGAGGCGGGTTCTGCAGCTCCGAGGCGAGAGCGGTGACCAGAAATCTGGTCTGTGGTCTGAGAGGAGGGCTGGATTGCTCTGGCTGATCCCTTCCAACTCTCGGCATAAAAGCTTTCTCGACAATTAGGCTGAGGATGCAAGGAGAGGATTTTAACTTGGAATGCCTGACACAGCTTCATTACTGAATGCTATGACTCATTTTAGTTTGGGAAAGGACAGCCGTATTGATTTGTTAGTTTGTGCTTAGCAGGGGGCAGCCAGCAAAACCTCAGGATAAGGTCTCAGTCCAGGGTGGGCTATTGACATGGCAGTTGTTTTGCTGTTGCTGGTTGTTGTTGTTTAAATGAAAAGGAACATAAAGAATAGCCAGATAGCTTGAAATTCCGAGTTAGGTGGATTTCTCTCTTGTGTAGTTCTTTCAGCCGGAGATGTATAGATTTTGCTTGGCAAAACCTTTAGTGTTTTGGTTTGGGGCTGGATTAAAAAAAATGTTTTAAAAGCATTGCACTGGTTTTAAAACAGGAAACTCACACCCACAAGCTGATTTTTAAAGAAAATGGCAAAAGCACAAGACTTTGAGCACATAAAACCCAAACCTCTCCTCTAACTTAATACCAAAATTATTCTTTTTTAAAAGGCTCTTTTTGGCATGTAAACAGCTGTTAATTTTTATTTGTATTTTTAAAAAATATGTAACATATTTTTACTTGTGCTTTTCCCTTTGTGAGTCTGAAGATCTCTTGATGTAACATTTTGGAAGCCTAATTTTGAGAAAGCTTTTTTTAGAAGAGAAAAAAAATCACTCTCCATAGAATAGCACTGATTGCAACAAAAAATGAAGTAAGAGATGCACCCATAGTTTATTTTTCAAGATTAAATTATCAGAACATTAGCGTATATATTTGTAGTGCCTCTCCAAATGTGAAAGGCACTTACTTACCACATATGTGGAAAGAAAAAAGTGCACATTCCCCCACAATATTTATAATTTGAAATGAAAGCAAGAGAATCCTGTTATTTTGAACAACTCTCGAGCTACGTTTCGTGCAACACTGCTTTAATTTTGAGGAGTAAGAGTGAAAGTTATTAACTTCAAAGTCTCTGAGCTGCAAATGTTCTTTGATCTCAAATTCCATCAAATTGCAGGTCAGCTCGAGAAAGGTGCTGTCCAATTTCATTACATTCTCAACCACCGAAAAAAGAGAGAAGCTTTTGCAGGTTTTCATAAACTAACTCTGGGAATTTAAGGAACCCCTCCCCCCCAAAAAAGAGTTTCAAATTGCACAACCTTCTAAGGAGTTCAAAGTGTTAGAATAAAGACAGGATTCCCATCAACAGCATCCGTAAGGATAAAATGGAGAATATTTCGGAGCCTCCGTTAGCAGCGGTTAAAACTTGTTTAATTTTAGAAGCAGTTGGTTTCAGAATACATAAATATTATATGGGGAAGCCAATATTATTTTCACATTGCTACTGCAACTGTCACAGTGGTGCACAATTTATTATAGTTAAAAACCCACAAAGATCTTCCTTCTTTCCTCTTCCAAAGAAGAAGCAAAAATGAAGGGAGGGGGGGAAGAGAAAGAAATGAAAACCGAAAAGCTAGAAGCCTTCGTCTTTCATTTTATGAGACAAAGAACCTTTACATTTCCCTTGTTACGGACGGTATCAGAAGGTGGGAGGTCCACACTGTGAACTGTGTCAACGCAGAGAAGAAATTAAACTGCAGTAAATTGGGGAGGGGGAGCTTTTGTCTCTAACTTAGAGGGGGAAAGTGTCTGTGTGCGCATTTGATCTTGACTCAAAAGAGTTGCTCTTGCAGATTTGCCTGTGCAAGACAGATGGCAGTGTAACCCAGCTAGTAGGCGAAGCTGCCTTCTCTCCCTCTGGGTCTAACTCCTATTATCCACTTGTAAATTAACCTGTCAATTTATCAATCAACACCATCTTGATTCTCCCCCTGTTCCACTGCCCAGCATTGCAAGTGAATTTGCCTCGTAAATAACTGGGAGCTGCATGTTTGTTAGTCTTGTGAATGAGTTTATTATCACATTGATGACTGCTATGAATCACAAATGCTGCCCGTTGCCTGATAAGCTGGGGGTGGTGGGGGTGGTGGGTGGAAGGAGTTACATACAAACATATTAGTTGAAACTAGTTGGACGATAAAAGATATGGTGGGCGGGGGGTAGTAAAGCATTGTAGCATGTGGGGTGGGGGCAACAAAGGGAAATAAACAGATTCCACCCCCACCCACTCCAAAAAGTTTTGGCTATGATCACTATTTAGATGTAGAAGCTTGCTTCTGGAAAATTGGAAATGAACATTCGATTTTATTAGACTGGTGGTGTGTTTTCTAAAACCAAACTTTAGAGAACCTGCATACTTTCTGATAATGCAACAAGTCTTTCTTTCTTTCTTTCTTTCTTTCTTTCTTTCTTTCTTTCTTTCTTTCGAGTGGATAAGTAATGCCATCAAAACAGCCTAATAATGGAAAGAAAAAAGCCAGCTGCTCAGTAGTACCTTTCACATAATAATGAATATTAACACTCCAGTTTTGTTATTGGATCGGTTTACATTTCTTAAAGCTCATTTGATAAATGAAGTTCTTCAGACGGACTTAACTTCATTCTCAGTTGAGAAATTTGAAACACACGGCTGCAACTTAACAAATATCTACAGAAGCATATCGCTTTGTTAGAATATTTGAAAACCTGGTACTGTATAAGACTTGCTCTTTCTTTTCTCTTTCTCATCAATCAAAGCGTGCAGATATTTTGTATGACAGAGGTGGGGAAAAATTCATAATGTTATCTTAATTATAACAAAAGTGAAACATCTGGCTTAAATTATTGGTGTTATAGGCTATATACAATCTGTCTCTCAATCTTTATTCTAACCATTATTTGTGCTTTTGATTTGCAATGTAATATATATCATTTGAACATCTAACAGACAGTAACCCCCAAAATATCATCCTCCTATAGCAGAAGTTCTCAGTGAGATAGGAGACACCATTCAGATTGAATATGAAATCCACATGCATTTTATTTCTTAGGTTTAGCCTACAGGAAGAAGTTGGAGAATATATCAAATCTGTTTTATTAGTGCAAGGAGCAACACATGAAGGACTAAAGGCAGAAACTTGTGTTAGGTTCTGTTCTAGAATGTTAAAGTGAATTATACACAGTAATTTGCTGTTAATTTGCTTATTCTTTTTCACCCAAATGCTATATATTTTCTAGCAGTTTTCACTCAAAATTACTCCTAAATGTACTGTTGAAAGTGATAGATTTCTTTTTCTTTTTTTAAAAAAGAGAAAAGTAGAAAGACCTCTGCAAGCCTTTTTCTAGTATACATACTTTTTCAACAACAACACACACCCTTCTTTGCTGAAAAGGAAATTATATGCATTTGCAAATCTCTCTACTCGTTAGTAGGTTTCTTCTGCAGAATAATGCAAATAAAATCTTCAAGCTGATGCCTTTCCCAGTCAATTTGGGAACTTAATGCTTTTGTAACCAGGTTTCCTTGGGCTACAAACAAATCCAGAGCAATGTCTTAAGTGCTCTAGAAAATGTTGTGTCATTGTTTTTAAAGTAATGCAAGATTACCCGCTACACACACACACTTTAACTATTTTGGCAGTTTTGTTTCCTCTCTCCTGCTAAGTCCACACAATTTTCTCCACTGTTTACATGCTCAGGCAACAGCTATAGAAGCAGGTGTGGGGATTTGTCGCGCTGTAGAATCTCCAGCACAATTAAGGTAACAGAACGGGATTACGCTGGACATTGTTGTGGCCTATATATCATTGGTGGGAAAGTAATGGGAAATGAAATTATTTGTTAGAATGCAATTTAGGGAACCTGATAGGTTGTCCATTTTATTCAATTTATAATTAAGATAGTGTTTAAATTTGAAATGAATTCTATATATGCATGTTCAATAGGGGAGAGCCCAACAATAAGAGTGGATTCACATCTCATTTTATCATAAATTGTGTAATAAGCGATAAGGTAAAAACCAGGGCGACTATCCTTCCAGCAAAAATGAAAGAGAGCGACCTCAATTGCCCTAATTCATTCTGCTTTTTCTTTCTGCTTTTTTTTAAAGGTCTCTTCATTTTCCCTCTGTTCACATTATTAGCTTACACATGAGTGCATTATTAGCAAGTAACAAAGCCAAACGGGCCCGACATGGAAGGAGTTGGAGATAGGGTTCCCCCACTACAGCTGAAAGGTATTCGTGTTTCGTTTGTTGGGAGTTGCAAAAAAAAAGGGGGGGGGAGAAATAGTTTTATTGCCAATAAGGGACAATGACCTCTCTCTTTCAACATGCTTGGTGGTTGGTCTTTTGAGGGGAAAGGAGAGAGAGAAAATGCGGGGGGGGGCATGCAACATCTGGTAATTTGTGTTACTGAGCTTAGCCAGGGTCTTAACGATGTAAGCAGATTATTTCTTTAAAAAGAGAAAGAATGAACAAAAAACAACAACAACAAAATCCGGAAGACTCAATGAACTATTTAAAGTTATTAGCCGGTGAATTCGAAAGCTTCAGAAAACTCTTTCGAGATTGGTTGCGGTTGGAAAGGCCTTCTTTTGGGGGAGCTATTCACTTTGCTAAAAGGGGGGTTCAAGCATCTTTTAAATCTGGTGCTCCCAGTGATCTGTTCACGTCCCTTTGTAGCCCCCCTCCATTGGAGCGTGATTGGTTTTTATACCATCTCCCAATATTTCACGGAGGAAATTGCAGGCACTCTAGGTTGCAATTATAACACCCCTCTTTCCCACCCAGCAGTCCCATCTCAGAGGCCTCCCCTCCAAAATGCAAGTATGAATTGCAGAAGAATCTTTATTTGCATGTAGAGTTTTATTTACTTGGTATAAGCCTGCCATGCACAGGTTTAAAGGCAAAGAAGATGCTTCTTCATTTGGGTCCAAGATATGCCCGAAAAGTATTATTGTCCTACAAGAAGTTTTCAACAGTTCAAAATGATCCACGCCAGCTTTAGTGTGCAAAGGGGGCTGTGTGTGCTGCCTTAATGTTCATGTGCACTCAATGGCATGCACAGGTGCTACGGGCACAGTGTATACAGGGACAGGGCAGAAGTGTATTTTGTTTGCATTTTAACATAAACCTACCCAATTTCCCAAACCAATAGTGAGCCAAAATGCAGTTCTTCTCTGAAATGATCACTTCTCCGGGTGCTGTGATGCCCTTCTCCAACCCCCCCCCCCCAAAAAAAAAATGTGTACAAAAAAAGCATAGATTAGAGGAAGGGGTGGGCAACAGTATGTATATGGGTGAAAGCAATATACAAAAAATGCACTATGTTTAGAGAAATTGATTGGGGGAAATGCCATACGGTAAGATAAAATGCACCCACAAATGTGTTTTTGTAAAGAAAAAGAAGTTTGGAAATGGAATGAACTTAAGACTGAGAAGCAGGAGACCCTGAGAGAAACTGAAACTGACAGAGCTATATATCTATATCTATACACACACTCAGAGAGAGAGAGAGAGAGAGAGGGATGAGAAAAAGGGAGTAAATCTCTTTAGATTTGGTCAAACTAAATCCCGGATAGAGTGTTGTTTGTTTGTTTTGTTTGCTTGCTTGTTTAAAGAGTGGTAGAATGGATGAGTGAAGAAGGGAGCACTTTTGTATCTTTTAAAGGAATTTCACTCTGTAGAAATATTTCAAGGAAAACCACTTCAGTGTTTTTATATATATATATGTTGACTCCTGGGGTGTGTGCGCACAAATTCAGACTCACTCTCTTTCCTTCCCTCTCCCCCACCCCTCTTCCTTTAATCAGATCTGCAGATGGAATGCAGTGCCTGAAGTATCCACTAGGCTTCATTGTTCAAATAATTAGGGAACAGATGAGGCGTTTTTCTCATGCAATATGAACTGTCAAAATAATGGACAGGGTTAAGGGCACCAACCTGTAAGAGATGCAGAAGAATATATGATTTTATTTCATGTGGAAGTCTTCATCATAGGAACTGAAATTAGGTGAGTTATGACAGCTGTGTGGAGAGTTGAGAAACAGGAGGGAGATATCAGCATGTTTGGTGGAAATCTAAAGTTTAAAGCAGTAGAAAAAATATTGAGAACCTAAGAAGGAACACCCAGCCAGCCAGCAGCTTAATGAGGACCAGCATGTTTTCTGGCTACAGAATACAATGCACTTTCGGGAGATGGGCCCAAGGCACTTTTGCGCCCCCCCCCCAATGTATCATCTCTGGCCCCTGACTCTTTGCAACATCATGCATGTGACATCAGGCTGTTGCGTTGGGCCCCCTCAATCAGCTTGAGAAGATGGTGCCTCTGATCCCTGGCATCTCCCGGTACACCTAGGAGCATCCCTGGTCTGAAAGAGTTTCAGAGCAAACAATACTGAACTCGCTGGACCAAGGGTCTGACTTTTAATAGGTAGCATCTTAGGTTTCTAAATATGTTAAATATATACTATCAGGTTTTGTTTTTCTCATGTACCTCAATGTCTGGCCATGTTTATGAGAGCTGCTGACTATGGTGCACAAGAAAACAAGATGTATAATGAGTTCTGTCCTATTAGACTTTGAAACTGAAAACTCTTGATAGTTGGCTAAGAAAACACAGCTGTTGTTTTCAATGGTCAGGAAGAGACTGGAAAGAACATCACACAAGTGGGTGGACTAGAGAAATGGCAAAGCTATATTATTGGGTAACCACTGGAAATGATGGATAGCTTCGAGCTAATTCTACTTACACTTGTTCTTGCCTACTTAGGAGATGATAAAATGTGGGTGGTAGGTGGTAACTAGGCAGAAATCCTTGCATCCTATAGAAACTAACCAGGAACTAGGCCCACTGTACCAGAAAGGCTGTGCACTTTATTGTGGCATAAACCATTGCAGGCTGGAGCCCATTTCATAAGAAGAGTAACAACGTTGACCCAAGCCTAAGGCAGCTGCTTCAGATTGCCTCATGGGTGGGCCAGCCCTGCTGAGTAGTACTAGCACTGGATGCAACACACAGTTTTTAATAAAACTAAGGGAATATTCACAAATATTTGAAATTTCCAGTTTTGCCATACCTAAAGCACAAAGACATTTGTAGGACATTAAAGGCAAGCGAGTCTATCATGGCATAAGCTTTCATGGACTCATGTCCACCTCATCCCTTCTAGAAGCTTTTTTGACCATGACATTTTGAACTCACATTCAGAATATGAAATTCTTCCATAGGTTTTGCAGTTTGAGTGCTTAGACTTGTTGCCACGTTATGACGGTTGTGACATCTCTTTAGCCATATGGAATCTCATCAACTGTTTGCTTTCGAAAGCCAACAAATTCTAGAAGGGTACCAATGCTAGCCTGCTCCAGCAAAACAGAATCCATCCTTTGTACCCATGTACAGCCTGCTTGTTGGCAGCACCCATGTCCAAGATGCTGCTTGACTTAATGGGGCCCAGCCTTCTCCAGCAGTCTCATCCTGCTATGGAACAGGGGAGGCTCAGGTCATCCAGGGTCTTGGAGTTCTCAGAGTGAGAAGATGACAGCGCCACATTCACATATCCCAAAGATTCCTCTGCTAGCAGCATCACTGGGGCTGGGTTTGCATGTCATTCCTTTTCCTCACCACCACCTGGTGAAGAGGAATCTGACTCCTGGTTCCTGACTCCCACAGGAAGTCATGCATCTCTTTAGATCAATTGTGGGGGGAGCTTTGGTCCTCCAGATGTTGCTGAACTACATTTCCTATCATCCCTGGCCATTGACCATGCATGTTGGGGCTGATGGGAATTGTAGCTCAGTAACATTTGGAGGGTCAAAAGTTCCCCACATGCAGATTGAAATGTTCTCTGTTAACACATAGGCCTTCCTTCCGCTAACATCCTTGCCCATCACAATGATGGACATTTCACTAGTTTGGAGATAAATTGAAGCACATGGCTGGCAGGAACTTACCATATATTTAACCCACATGGAAATAATAATAATAATAATAATAATAATAATAATAATAATAATAATAATACGATTCATTTGTATCCTGTAAATTCGGAGACAAAATCCTGCACAGCAGTCCTAGCATTATATGCACTGATTCTGAACTGCTTCAGTTTGGAGAATGACTCTCATCACCAGTTATCACAGCTGATGAATGTGACAGCTGTGAATAATCAAACTGCAGGCTCTCCCTTTTTCACACCACAGCAACCTCCGTTTTCTGAAGTCACTACAGAAGGAATCTGCTTGTGTTGACAAGGATCTTATTCACTGGAGTTTTAGACTGCAGCAACACGGACTTAGCTAAGAGGTGGTGCACACACACATATGCATGGTTAAAGGTATTTGATGCTATCCCCCCCCCCCGGTCTGCCCAGCTGCATGGAAAAATGACTTTGCTGCTTTTGCACCAGGCCCTGGGTGAGCTCTATAGAGAAGAGTTCTATTTGCATTGAGGTCAGGCTGGCACTGGCAAAGTCTCATCAGTGAGTAGGCAATTGCAGACAGTGAACATAAGGACATAAGTGCCCTGCTGCACCAGGCCAAAAGCCCATCTGGCCCAGCATCCTTTTCTCACAATGGCCAACCAGATGCCTCTGAGAAACCCACAAACAGGACCTGAGTACAACAGCCTTGCCTGACTTGTGGTTCCCAGCAACTGTGTGGTGTGGTGAGGCCCTCCCGACACTTGGGTCACTGTAGTTTATCTGGATGGTGCAGCTGTGAGGCAGGGCAATGGCTTGGTCAGGACTGTGTGACTGCATCAGCAGAGCCAATATAGCACTCCTGCCAGTGCATCCACACAGCTCCAGCCTTGCCATTGCCCTACCCTACTCCACCTAGCAATTTCCAGAAAAACTGTGCAATGGATAGTTCTGTCAGACCACACTGGCTGCTAGGGCTGCCAGGGCTTGCTTGCACATGCTGCCAACTTTTATGGAAGAACTCAAACTTGGTAATTTCCTATGTCAACAGACTCACCCCACACCCCTTAAAGATATATGCATATCTGGACATAGGCTTTCAAGAGTTGAGGGTTACAACTCGGTTCTGATCAGTTTATCAGTATCAAAAAATATGTGCTTAATTCTGTATTTTGAGAGGAAATATAATATATATTTTGAGAGAAAATGCACATTGCAATATACAGGGTGTCGCAAAAGTAGGTAAACTGCTTTAGAACCTACTTTCTTTGTTCTTGACTCAAGTTCGCTGTCATCATTCACAATATCAATAAAGAAAAACAATCCTTTTATCCGGCTCCACTATTCTTTCCAACTGCCAGCCTGAAATTTAACTACCACTTTGTTGTGTGTCAGTTATGTGTGCCCATATAATCTGTTGTGATGAATTTCATTGGTTCAACCATATACCTACTTTTGTAGGTGATGCATATTTATTGCATATATTGAGATTTTTTTGAATGTGCAGATTAATGCTGAGATGAATCAGAACAGAAAGATGGAATTGAACATGTGGAAATGACATAGACTAGGGAGGAAACAGACTAAGAGATCTACAGCAAACCTTTTTGGAACTAAAATATCCACCTAATGAAGTTAAACAACACATCAACAAATCCAGAGAGAACTTGCTGCAGGACAGACCCAAAAGAGAAAATAACAGACCACTAGTAATCACGGGATGCGGGTGGCGCTGTGGGTTAAACCACAGAGCCTAGGGCTTGCTGATCAGAAGGTCGGTGGTTCAAATCCCCGCAACGGGGTGAGCTCCCATTGCTCGGTCCCTGCTTCTGCCAACCTAGCAGTTCGAAAGCACATAAAAGTGCAAGTAGATAAATAAGTACCGCTCTGGCGGGAAGGTAAACAGTGTTTCCGTGCACTGCTCTGGTTCGCCAGAAGCGGCTTAATCATGCTGGCCACATGACCCAGAAGCTGTATGCCGGCTCCCTCGGCCAATAAAGCGAGATGAGCGCCGCAACCCCAGAGTCGGTCACGACTGGACCTAATGGTCAGGGGTCCCTTTACCTTTTTACTAGTAATCACATACAGCTCCCAAGTTAAAACAGTTCAGCACATCATCAGAGATTTACAACCTATTCTAGACAACAACAGTTCTCTTTCTCAAGCTCTGGGAGGAAGACCTTTCATTGCATACAGACAGCTACCCAACCTCAAACAACTCCTCATGCACAATAATACAGCAACCAGACTTAACATGGACACTGGTACCAGAGCCTGCAATAAACCCAGATGCCAAATTTGCTGCCACATACACCCAGACAACGCCATCACTGGACCCAACAACATCAAACATACCATCTCAGGCCTATTTAATTGCTCATCTTCTAACATTGTGTATGCCATCAAATGCCAGCAGTGCACTTCAGCTCTCTATATTGGACAAACAGGCCAAACCCTACGCCAAAGGATAATTGGACATAAATCTGACATCAGGAATCACAAGACAGAGAAGCCAATAGGAAAACACTTCAATCTCCCAGGACATTCAATACAGGATCTCAAAGCAGCTATCTTATTACAAAAGAATTTCAGAAATAGACTTGAAAGAGAAGTTGTTGAATTACTAAATTATTATTAAACTGAAAACTATGGAGAGACCTGGTCTGAATAGAGATATTGGATTCTTGTCTCATTACATATGCTAAAGCTATTTTTAGTCATCTGCATACCATCCCTTGCTTTTTCCCATAGGACTAATTGCAGTTGTTAACAGTCGTCAACAGGTTTACAACTGCAATTAGTCCTATAGGAAAAAGCTCCAGGACTTTTGTTGTGAGAAGTGATGTTCATGTTCAATAAACCAAACCTGGCCTTGCTAAATTCCAGGGGAACTTCTCACAATGATGCTAGGTGCTGCTGAGTTAGACGGACCAGCAATGCGACTTGGCATAAGGCAACTTCCTCTGATAAAGTTGGCATCATAGTGTTATGAGTTGGGGACAGGGGGGCAGTCTGGATGATGGCCTGTGTGACTTCCAGTTCTTGTGATCCTGTATCTGTGAGATTATAATGTGTAAAACAGAACCTGGTGGATAGGTCAGACTAGTCCCTTTGTCAAGGTCATGACTACAGCTGGCCAGTTAAGTGCCCATCAGCATCTCAAAGAATGAGCTAAGTGATGGTGCACTCCAAGGGGTAAGCATTTTCCTCACTTCACTCACCTGGCGGGACACCATGTAATCTTGGGTAGAAGAACAATAGCCAGAGTTGCTGTGTGTGAGTGCTGGAAGGTGGACACTGGAAGGTGGATACTGAAAGAGAGACATGTTTGCTCTGTGCTAGACTTGGGGGTTCTGCTGGAAACAGAATGAGGAAGCAAGATGTGTTTGGGTGTCGATGTGTAAAGATTCCACAGTCTTTTCTGACCCTCCTTCCAACGAAACCAAATCCTGAGAAAAGCACTCTGTCACTGTTTGGAAATTGGGGTGATGTCTAACAATATTATTTTGGCAGCTTAACCACATTTGTTGACCTTTGTAGACATTGCTAGCTTGCTCCAGCAAAACTATCCCTCCTCTGTAACCAAGTATTTTTTAATAACCCAGCTAAGGATATCATTTCTTGATAGTGCCCCCTATGGGGTAAAGAGGGGCAGTACAACACTGCTACTCTTGCTTGATCTCTCAGCAGATAATTACTTTTTGATTCCGGTGGTGTGAATTAAGTAGGTTCCCTTTAAAAACGTGGATGACTCAAAACTCTCCTCCATCTCTACTGGTGGTGGGTTTAAAAAATACCCAAGATTATTCATAGCCTTGACTTTCAAACTTACTTACTGTGTACTTTTTTGTTTTTGTTTAGTTTCCCTCCTCAAAACCATCTAATTTCTTGGGATTAATTTACACATTTCTACTAGACCTGAGATGGGAACCCTTGGTTTCCCAACACCATGGAAGATGGGGCATGCCTCCAAAGCAGGAGATATCAGGGTGAGGCCCTGTTAGACCTGAGCAGCATATGCTCTCATAAAATCCCCAGAGCTTCATTCTTCCTTTTGTCAATGTTTCTACCTTAACAGAAAGAAATACCATTCCCACTGTTCTTCCACTTAAACAATGAAAAGTCTATGAGCAACATACAAAGTTGAATATAGAGATATTTTCTTTCTGTGCATATTCTACATGTTTATCCTTCTTAGTCTTCCTTTGTGTACACATACTGGGTCACACATGCATGTGCTTGTGAAAAGACAAAATGAAAATTACATCTTTTTTTTAAAGAAAGGGGGTGGGGGGCAGTGATTGCCTGCTAATAACAAGCAAGGCAGTGATCTGTATTTCTTTTCTCTCTGCCCACCCTCCTCCTCCTCCTTTCTCCCCTTCTTCTTTTTAATGCTGCGTTGGCCCTGGAAGAAGGACTCTTTCATTTCCCACATACTTTTGTTGTTCGCCATAGAGCTGCCTGACATAATGGACTCCCCCCCCTCCTTTTTTAAAAAAAAAACCAACAAGCTCTGAAGCAATTGGCAATTAAACGGTTTGAAGGGGGTCCTTCTGGGCCAGTGAGAAAAGCTTCAGGTGTGAAACGCTTGTTTTCAAGAGCACTAAGCAAAATGTATAGTTGCTTTCAGGGCCTCCCTTACGTGCCAAAGCCCCGTGACCTGCAGTTCCCTAGTGATTAATAAACACATGGACATGAGTATTTAGGTTTATGGGTTCAAATAGGCCACAACATTATTGGCTACAGATGTGAGTGGTTTGGCTTAGGGATTGGGT